AAAAAAAAAAAAAAAAAAAAAAACACTATGAGTTCTCATATGCTTCAGTCATCGATTGCATGAAATGAAAGAAAAATAAAATAAGATATTCGTTTTCGTGTATTAAAATTGGAACAGTGTAGAGATAACGGCAAAAGTACCTGCCTATGTGAAGTTACACACTTCTAACAAACTCGTTTCTCTTCAGACACATGAAAAGCCCATAGACACAATCATAAATATATCAATAAAAAGTCCTACTATTTGTCCTGACAACAGCACTCGTATATATAGAAAGAAATATATATATATATACCCCAAAAACTGTTAGAAGGGAAATATAATAATAATAATAATAATAATAATAATAATAATAATAATAATAATAATAAAAGCAGTAAAGAAGAAATAAGAAAAGTAAACACCAGTCGTATTGTTCCTCATTTCCAATAATTATACCCTTTCACCATATTAAGAGAAAAAAAGAAAAAAAAAAAACATTATCTCCTTATCTTGATTTTCCGTGCCTTCATCTGGGCAATTATCTATTTCGAGACTTTCTGTCAAAAACAGCCTTTTTATTTGGTGTACACTGTATTTTTTCTTTTCTTTTTTTTTTAAATTTTATTATTCCCCACAGGGCAGGGAGTGTCCATTGGCTTATGGAGTACCATTATTTTTGAACACCACACCTTCACTACTTTTCCTATTAAGATTTATTCCACCTTCACGAAGTGTTCCCATTTCCCCGCTTCGTGATGCCGGTGAAGGCTGGTGAAGGTCCATATTCCCCTGTGATGGCATTGAAGAAAGTGTGTGATGCCTTTTCATGTGTGTATCGATATCTTCCATAAGCATAGAATTGTTAAATTCATCATCCACAACAGCATCCATTCGTTCATCTAACATACGTTGACGATCTGCCAAAGCACGACGATTCAATTTAACATACTCCCAGTGTACATAACCATTGGCGATAAATGCCGAGATATTTAACCCAAGCATTACAAGCAAAGGAACTTGCACGCAACCACGATCCAAACATATTGCAACACCACGTTTATTTGCTTCCCGTGTGTACCATTCACCATACAAAACTCGATTTAGTAAAATAGATGAACACGTTGTAGCAAAAAAACAAAAATTATAGTGTAAACCAGGATCTTTTGCATATATTGTATTTACTACAAGAATAGTTACAGCTGCAATAATACCATTTCCTAATGCTCCCAAAACGTACGGTAATGGTAAAACATCTTTGCTTGTAATGGTAAGAAATAGAACTGTCATTATGGTAATAGTAATCGTTGGAAGGAATAATGAAAGAGTAATAGGAATACGTTTCTCCGCACTGCGACCCTGTGACCATACCTCAAGTGCACTCATTAGAAGTCGACCCAACGCACTACCAGTACCATTTAACACTGTCAAAAGAGTGTTTAGAGAGTCATCTACTTCTTGACCAGATAAGGCATTAAAGAAGTATCGGGAATTATTCATCACCACAAACTCCGTTCCAAGTGTACAAAAAAGTGACCAAAAGATAGCCCACAACTTCACTGTACAAAGACTCTGTAAGAAACGAGTTTGATACTGTGGGGCGACATAGTCTACCTCTACAAAAGGTAATAATCCACTTGGAACGGCATCATTAACCACTTCCGGAGCTTCAACGCCCTCCAAATCTGTGGATGTGCTACGCCAAAACTTCCAACTCCTATTAAGCCAATTGAATGGCATGGCAACAATAGGGTAAATAAGTGTACAGAAAATGGCTACAATGGCGAAAGCATTTCGATAACCCCAAGAGAGATTTTTAAAGGCTACCAATGCACTTTGTAATGGTAGGAAAATAATAAGAAAAACGACAATTACAAATCCAATAGCAAAACGCAAAGATGGTGGGTTTTGTTTTAAGTAGATAGCCTTGGTTGATACACGTTTCTCTGCCTCCTCATCTGACAAGGTTCGTCGTTCATAATCTGTCAATACATAAGGGGGATGACGTACCAACACCAATACAACAATACCAATAACACCACCAAGAACGGTTAAAAAATAAAAGTATTGTGCCGGTTTTCCTTCAAAATATGCCAATTGAATTGCTCCAATAATTGCGGATCCTAAGCCAATGTATGTCTTCATCACCGCTACAACCACACCTTTTCGTGTTGGAAAGTGACTAAGTACAGTCACAACACATGCGAGGTCGTACAATCCAGAACCAAAGTTAAATATACCATTAAATACACACAAACGCACCACCGAACCGGAAACAATGCCAGCAAATGTAAGCCCCATAAATAGTGCACCAACTGTGATTAGAAAAAACCCCAGCACCAGAACAGGAACAACACCCAAGTAATCATATACAAAAGCATATGGAATACCAAAATAAGCAAAGACAATTCCAACTGTACTAATTGTTGTCATATCGGCTTGGGTAAACTTATACATTTGTTGCAAATCCCCACTGAATATATTGAATCCAAAAGTAAGGGATACGGCAATGCATCCATATACTCCTGCTACAAGCAAAGCAAAACGTCTTGGTTCACTAATTGGCTTTTCCACTTCTGGAGAATCAACAGCAATCTGAAACTCTTCCTTGTCCTCCATTTTTGAAGTAGACTGTGAACTCTGCATTTCTCGGTTCTGTTCTGTTCTGATACCGCTTATTTTATTATTAATATTCTACAAATAACCGATTTCGGATATTCACAAAATCCAAAGGAAAAGTACTCTCACTTTCTCTTACTTAAAAGAAGGCCAGAAAACAGGAAGGAAAGAGAGAAGGAAATAACGAGACACACAGATTATATATATATATATATATATATATATATAACAGGGTTTGTAGACTTGTGTGTCCACGACCATGAAAAAAAAAAAAGAAAGCATAGAAATAACAACATTGTCACCAACAAATATTACTCGCGTTTCAAAGACTCCTTCTTATAAGACCACAAAACTTTTCCAAAGACATCTTCACTTTTTGTGCTGCCACTATTTCATCAAGATTGCCTTCCGCAGATTTCTCACGCTCCTTCGCATCTGCCTCCATCTGACGTAGGCATTCTGGTAGCAACACCCGAGTCACTGGAGCGTAGCGAAATACACCTAAACCAGAAAAGAAACGTAGACACCGTTGCATGTGCCATGAATATCGATCAATTACTGTTACTTTCCGCTCAACACTTATCTTGTTTAGTAGCCATTGTTGCAGCGTTGTGCATAGTCGGTAAAGAAAAACAGACATTAAGACACAACAAACATCTTGTACTGCCCTAGAACAGAGAGAATGAGAAGAGGTAGAGTACAATCCTAAAATTCCTTTGAAGTGTGAAGGTGTTACAAGAAATAAACGAGGAGCTTTAGATGTTGTTTTACCATCTGATCCTGCAGGAAATGTTGAGAGCGGTGATGAACTGTGAAGCAAGGTTTTTGTTGGTGCAACTTCTTCCACAGCAAAATCAACTAAAGCACTAGAAAATCGTGAAGCCATTTCTGCAATTTCCAAAGTCGTAGGAGGTGAAACTAGAGAAAGATTATTTTTGTTATCAACCTCATTAACCGCTTGGGATGGTTTTCCATCATCACGTGTTCGTTTCAAGCTAAACGTACGGCGTTGATTTTCTCCATGTTCCTTTTTACCTTCTTCAGATGACCCAACTGAACTATGAAGAGGTTGCGTCTCAACCTTCTTTTGTTCTTCTTTAGTCTCAAGAGGAATGCCACTGTAGGCATAACTGTTCAAAAGGACTTGAAGTCGTGTTTCAACTTCAGATATCTCTTCATCAGAAATGTCGTTCCCTGAATCATGGGAAACTCTTAACTCAAGTACCCGCCAGATTTGCTCGGCAATATACAGCTGCGCAAGAGGAAGTCGCAACGTCAAGGCGGCAATAAAGGCGGGGGTACTACAACAAAGTTCACTCCCACTAAATCGAAACTCTTCATTAATTAAATCTGCAAAAGAAGGGACAAATATGTTAACATCTGGATGATCTAGAGCACTACGCACATAATGTGAAGCCATATTATTTCCATGATAGAGTGTAAGCATAAGTCCATACGCAGCACGAAGTACTGCTAAAGAGTACTGCTGTAATTCCCCATCTGATAAAGAGTTCGTATCTCTCTCCACTAATCGTAAACCCAAAGATAACGCATGAAGAAAAGATAAATTTGACGTTCTTTCGTTCATTTCAATATTTTCGATAACTTTCCGGGTTTTTTCTAAATCATCGTATTGCTTAATTTCTTGTAACCATAGAGAAAGCATAGCATGTGTGACAAACGTTGTAGGCCCCTCGTAAGATATTGACTCTGTAGCCCCTTCTTCATCATTAACATTTTTATCATCATTCTTAGATATACCCAGTAAAGGATGCACCAAAGCATTCAAAAGTGATGGCCAAAAATCAGCACATGTCCCTTGTGTTAGTAAATCATGTATAGTAGAGACACCACCCCCTGCTGAGTTAGTTTCAGACAAGAAAAAACGTCTCCATATATTTTTCCATGTAGCTGGCAAAGACGGCTCCAAGACTACCTTTCTCAACAGTTGTAGTGTGTGAACAGGATATTGTAGTGCTAAATAGGTGGCGAGACCAGGAGGCAACTCTCCAAGCGATAAAGGAAGTGGTGTAAGGTTTGGATTCCATGCATGAAGCAGTGCAGATAAAAACTCCTCTGCACCCTTTCCAAAAAACTCCACGGGTGGACGGTGCCCCTCCACACCTCTATCACTACGGAGAAGAGATAAGAGAGGTATAGAACCCCTCCTTCGACGCAGAATCCCGGTTGAGGTTTCCCTCTCCCAATCTACCAGCATACGCTCAGCAGACCTCATGTAAGTCTCATGACTTTGTTGTAACAAAGCAATAGTGCTATATGGGGGGCAAAGTTCCTCAAAAAGAAAACGCTGGCATACTCCATTTTGCAGTCCACCTGCTTGAATGAGGCGAGATGTTAACATACCTCGTTCCACTGCAGACATCTTGGAGAGTGCAACTGTTGCTGTTCTTTGGAGCATAAATGAAAGAACAGACCCAAGCACTGCTCCCGTAGACTCATCCTCCACTGTATACAATGAACATAACTGCACAATGTCTTCCATTCACAGGGTGATTAAGAAACGAGACTAAACTCTCCTTTTACTGCACCTATAGCACCAACAACATAAAAGGGAAAAAACGAAAGAGGAAAGATGAAAAATTTTATTTATTCATCTCCAAAAGAAAAATATCACACATAAACACACATACAGCACACCAAAAAAGATGAAAAAAAAAAAAATATAATTCCTCCTATTCTCTCCTCTCTCAAATACGAAGACCTCAACTCATCCTTTACAATTAAAGGAAAGAAAAAATACCTCGACCAACGTTAAACGTCTACACAAGGCAATAAATAACAATAAAAAAAAAAAAATGCGGTACAACATTTCCTAGCATCCCAGTTAATTCACCTTATCACTCCTGTTACGGAAGTTGGTTGGGATATAAAATATATAGAACAAAGTGAAAATAACCCCTCACAAAATAAACAAAATATTCCTAATGTAAGAGAAAGCAAAAAAGAGGGGAAACTCTTCATACTTTTCCCTTTTCTCTTATAGGCTACGGAAGTACTCCGTGAGAAGAGCCGCGCCGAAGCCCGTTGCACCCTTGGCATCAAATGTCGGAAAAGCCAAATCCACATGTACATGTTTGCCCGTGAACTTTGGACTGAGGTGGTTCGCAATGAACTGCCCACCGCATGAAACTCCGGCATTATTTCTTTCGGCCACTGAATTACGCATATCAGCGACGTTGCTTCGGAACTCTGGGATGTGGTACTCTGGGCAATAAAGTACTGGAAAGCATGTCTCGCCACATGTCTTTCCTGCCTTTAAAAAGGCAAGTTCGGCATCTTCATCATTGACAAAGAGACCCGCATGTCTGCGACCGGTTGCGATACCTTGTGCACCTGTCAGGGTCGCCATGTCAATGAGAACGTCAGGCACGTGTGGGAGCTCATTGGTTGCGTGAAACACACCATCACCAAGCACCACACGGCCCTCTGCGTCAGTGTTATTCACCTCCACTGTCTTACCAGACTTCATCACCAGAATATCATCATTGCGGTACGAATTGGGTCCAATGGCATTCTCCGCAAGACAAAGGGTGCAAGACAGTGCAACCGGCTGCCCGAGACGCACCGCGGTGACGAAACCACAGAACACTGCTGCTGCACCACCCATGTCATGTTTCATTCCTGTCATAAAGTTCGGCTGCTTCAGTGCAAGACCGCCGCAGTCATACACGATTCCTTTCCCAACCAGTGCGACCCTCTTCTTTTCCTTGCTTTTAGGGGTGTATGTGAGCGTTACGAGACGTGGTGGTTCACTGGCAGCCTTACCAACAGAGTAAATACCACCGTACCCCCTCTCGCACAGCTCATCGCCGCAGATGACATCGATGCCACATCCCAGCTGCTTTGCATATGCCTGCGCGATCTCTGTGAAGGTGGTGGTGTTCAGCAGATTGGTCGGTGCGTCCACGAGGCGCTGGCAGAGCTGCGTGGAGGTGGCGATCACCTCAAGCTCCCGCGGTGGCGGGGTGGGGACGCTGGGGAACACCACCTGCAGCCGCAGCGCCTCGTCGTGGTACGCCCGCCCCGCCAGGCCGTCCTTCGCGGAGAAGTTGTGCCGCCCACTGCGGGCCACCGCCACCGCCACCGCCACCGCCGCGGTGGAGCGCACAAAGACGTCCACCGCCGACACCGCCGACGGGGCCTCCTCCAGCGCCGCCGTCACAAGCGCCGCGATCACGTCGGGCCGCGCGGGGCAGTTGGTGCGGGCCGCCTTCGACGGCACCTCGCCCACCACCACACGCACGAACTTTGCGTCCGCTGCGTTCCGCACCCCCTCGGCGAGGACGCCGAACGTCTTTCCCTCCTTCACCTGCTTAATCGCCTCCGCCACGGCGGGGCAGTACACCGGCAGACTCTTCACTGAAGCATCCTCCAGCTGCGCCCGAGTACCAATGAGGACTGCAAAGGGGGACGAAAGCCCCGACGCATGCTCCTTCTGGTAAGTTGCGATATCAGTAAAGTGCACATTGGTTTTGAAGTTGACGCATGAGTGCACAAACTCCGACAGCTCACATTCCGCACGACAACGCTTCACCATTGCTCTTTTTTTTTTTTTAATTGTTTGTTTGTTTGTTTGTTTGCTTGCTTATATTCTTTTTCTCGATGCTGTTTTAGAAATTGGAAATCGACCTTGGTCCCAATTCGACCCCACACAGCACAAAATTTGTTTTGGGAAGAAAGAAAGAGAAGGAAACAGAAAGAAAGATATTTTAACAGCAAGGGGAAACAAGAATCCATTGAAACACAATACAGGGTCCAGTCGGATCCGAACACTCACAGAATCACCACCTCGCCTTTTTACCATTCCCTTCCACTTCTGCCATCCACTCTCATCACATCATCCTTTCTCCCTTCTCCTATTGTATGTGCCTTGATTACCAAGTATACCCCCCACCCCTCCACACACACACACACACATACAAAGAGAAACAGGTTAAAGAATATCAATAAAAACAAAAATGAAAAAAAAAAAAACAGCGCCATAAAAACGAGAAAAAAAAAATCGTCTCACCGAAGATTGAACTTCCTTCGAGTGTAGAGACACTCCTCCACAGAAGAAGAAAAAAAAAAAAAAAACACTTCTCAATTCTTCACAGTTTACCCACATGAACCATTATTCCTTGGCATTATTTTCTGCGGTATTCCCACTTATACACATAAATAAGAGAAGAAAGAAATAGAACCAGCAAAACAAAAATACAGAAACTGCATATATCGTCATCATCAGAAATCACAATCACCATTGTTATTCATGATTTTAACCATGAACAACAAACACACTCTAAAGTATTGCATCACTAGGTGAAAAGAAGCTCCCTTTCCCAGACAGTGCAAAAAGACAGAAGGCATCAAAAACAATGTAGAGTAACAGGTAGTGCGCATTCACCCATATGTAAAAAAACCACGGGAACGAGCAAAATTCAGATACTGCCACGTTCTGTACATATACATTCATGCGGTAAAGAGAAACCTACATAAACACATAACCCCCGCACTCTTTCACTTAGCCACTATCCAGGCAAAATCAAAGGAACATTGTTTGCCCCAAGGAAACGCAATTACTGTCATTGCAGTAATTGCTTTACACACGATACAATCTAATATACCTATGATTCGAGCACCAAACTACAACAATGTTAAGATTTACAAAGTGCTATCACAAACAAATCGACACCACAAAAATGTGAGAGAGAAAAAAAAAAAAAATGAACCTTATAAATAATACAAAAAATGGTAATATATAACATAAGACACTCACAGTTGCACTTTTCTTTTTTTTGCAAACTTCAAATACAGGAAAACAAAAAGTAACACCATGTAAAAAACAAACCCTCACAAAATAAACAAAATATTCCTAATGTAAGAGAAAGCAAAAAAGAGGGGAAACTCTTCATACTTTTCCCTTTTCTCTTATAGNTTCTTTTTCCATTTTTATGTCATGACTTTTTTTTTTCCATCCTCCATTCTATTATCACTACCCATTTTTTACTGTTTTTTTTATATGTTTTGTCTGTTTCTTGTGGTTTAAATCGTAGGATTATTGTTTATACTTTCCTTTACAATAAAGAAGAAAGATAATCAGATGTACCATGGATTTATTAATGATTTTCCGAGAGACTCGCTTCACATATACAGGTATATGTGCATTACCGCAGCTCAGTTATCTTACAATTTGGTTATTGCAATAAACACCAGGTAGCGCTGATCGAGGACACACCTCATTAAAGCGTCAGATGTGGGAAAAGGATTTGTGAAAAGGTAAAAACAAAATGAAGTAAATTAACAAATAATGGAAAAATACAATAAAAAACATACTGGTTAGGAATAAGAAAAAAAAAGGAGAAAGTAAAAAAAAAAAAAATAATAATAATAATAATAATAAAATAAAAAAAACGCACTATTTCAGATATCACAGTACTGATTAAACAACTGCGATAGGAAAAAAAGAGAAAGAAATGGGGGGAGAAAAAACAAAAAATCCCCTCAATATGTGGGAGAAATATATATTTACTACCCTAGCACAGGACTCTCATCCTTACTTCTGTGCTGAATGACTTTGATATTCCTTTTTTTTTTTTTTCTGAGATGGGAGGAGGGAAAAGAAATAAAGAGTCAGGAAGTATATGAATTCCCAAACATATACCCTTCCGTAGTTCTCTTCTTTCATTTCCTCTTCCGACTACTCTCTACTTTCTCATCTTTACATTCTCAAAGAAAAAAAAGACAATAACGAAAAAGAAAAAAGAAAACACTCCACACACTAGGCACTTATACTCCAAACTCTTTGTTTTTTTTTTGTTTTTTTTTTTACTTCCAGCACCCCAAAGAGGCTTGAAGGACAGCAAATAAGTTGAAACACAACTATCGTCGTTGTGCCCTTACACGATGTCGCTCTACCGTGGCGATGGGTGCAACTTTATCAAATGACGGCTCTGCCGACGGGGACGTCACGGCGGCGGCATCTACACTACGCGATAACTCCACCACCAGCGGCATGCACGGTAGGCCGTCGGTCTGAAAGTGGCGCATCTGTTGCGGAAGCCGGCGCACACCCTCACAGTACTCTTTGAGTCGCATGTACTGATCAAAGTTTTCGGCATACCAGAATCCATGGCGATCCATCAGCACACGACAACGAAGTTTGTGAATTAAATGCCACACTTCATTTGTTCGCACAAGGGCAATAAATGATGTCTCAGACCGTGGCTCAATTCCAACAACTGTAGCAATGTCAGGGCCACATGTAGCCTCCACAACGCGATTCAATACAATTATAGTTCGATCCCGTAATTCACAAGGAAACATCTGAATAAAGATAGGTAGTTCCTCATATTTATTCACTCCAGACTTTATAGTGACGATATTTGCATTTTTTATATTCATACCGCCAAAGTTCCTTACGGTGGGTACCTTGTGTAGCATGGAAACATCATTCATAAATGGTGTCAGGTTATACGGTACGTACCGCACCGCACCTTGTAAGGCCCCGTGCACATTACCTTTGGGAAGATTTGTGTTAACACAAGATGGGTCGGGAAAACACCTAATCTGAACCAAACCATCAAATGTTGGTAGTGGTGGTGGCAGTGGTTGTGGTGGTGGTGGTGGTGGTGGTGGTTGGCCGCAGAGGTATACTCGGTGGAGCAAAGGGGTATTTACTGAGCCGATAGTCAGACTTGTATTTGGCTGCCTTACCCCTGCGTAACTAAAACTCTTATTGAATTCACCATCAATGTCAGTTAGATGGTTGCCAAGGCTGTAGGAAAGTCCTTGTGACAAATTCACACTGCTGTTTGCTGAACACACATGAAGTGGACCCACTGAGTTATTTAACATTAAAAAATTTTGGTGCATTGGCAGAGGAGGTGGAGGTGGTGGTAGTGGTGGTATCGTACAGGGCGGTACGTCAGCATGTGTGGTGTCCATTGGTGTTTGCTGCGACTCTGGAGGTGTTGTGTACATCACACTTGTACTCACAGGTCCCATGATGGTGTTATTACTATTGCCGGGGTATCGGTTTTGTGTAATTTCCGTTCCTACATTAGCGGGAGTTCTCTCCGCTGGGATGGAGAGTGTAAAGGAACTCACCATAACATTCCATTCCTCGTTGGGTTTCGTCCTGTAAGACTGTAGAAAGAAGGAAGGTGTACCACTACTCTGAATAACTTCTGGAGATGTTCGTACAGGTGTTGTCGCTGTGGTTATGGCTTCTGTTGTTGTTGTTGTTGTTGTTGTTTCTGTAGTTGTTGGGCTTGGCAAAGTTGATGGGAGTCGTCCACAGCCTGCGGTTCGCCCCATCATTTTCGGCATCTCCTCTTTCATTGAACCACTTAAATCAGGGAAATCAAAAGCACTCTCATAGATACTACTGGAATAAAGGGTTTTAACTACTCCATCCATCACCCGTCCATCGGGTGTAAGTGTGAGCTGAACAGGGTCTCCACACAACGTGGAAGCGGTGGAAGAAGTGAGCGTGTCGTTAGGGATTGGTGCAATTAGCAATGAATTGGAGAGAACAGTATTCATCCCCAATATCTTCCCCACTGAAGACATCAACTCCCTGCTGCTCTACCAGAGCCCCTTCTTTCCTCTTCTTATCTTTCCTTTTTTCTTTTTTTTCTGTTCGTACGTTTTCTTCCTTCTACTATGTTTTGTATATTTATATAGATAAATAAAAAAATAAATATGAATATATGTTCTAAACCTTTTTCCCTTGCTGTTGTGCCCACTCCTTCTATCAACTTTAATAAGAGGAGTGGGGGAAAAAAAAAAGAGGAGACAAGAAAAAAAAAAAACAATAATAACAATAACAATAAGAATAATAAGAAAAATAATAATAAAAATAATGATAGTAATAATAACTATACTGAGTATAATAATGATAATGATTAATAATAATTTTTAACAAAAGCGTACCATGTAGGCAATAAATATGTATATATCTATCGATGTATGCATGTTTCACCAATTGAGAATGTAAATTACGTGCAGGTGTGTAAAATTAATGTCAGAAGTCAGGTGGTATGAGGTCTCCAATCAACCCCTTCACCGCTATTCATTCCAGTTGTCATTCTCAAAGCAATTCTGGTTTTTTTTTTTTTTTCACTTTTCGCGTTTTGTTTTTCTTTCTCTACTATTTCCTCAACATAGGACCTCCCACATCGTGTGTTTGTTTGTTTACTATTAATATTATTACTTTTCTTTTCTTTTTTTTTTCTTTACCCAATGCTCTTTTTCATGCCTTTTTCTTCTTTTCTGCTTTTTTTTTCCTTTTCCCACACACACACACATACACACACCCCTTCCTCCCTTACTTATTATTTAGCTTCATCATCACTCTCTCATTTTTTTTGCTTTTCCATTTTTTTTTTTGTTTATTTTTGTTTTTTTTTTTTAACGTGGCCACACAATAAAAAGATAAAAAAAAGTATATATATATATATATATATATATATATAAACGTATATATATTATAATCATTGTGAAGTGCTAGTTGAAAACAAAGACAGCAAAATAATAATAAAAAGTAATTGAATGAGAGAGGTGGTGAAAGTTAAACGGGACACGCACACAACACATGTATGTACATACACATCTGATCACACGTATCAAAAGCCAAAAGAGGAGAAGGGCTGTGCAACTCAATAATAATAATAATAATAATAATAATAATAATAATAATAATAATAATAAAGGCAACAAAACTATTAGCAATCGTAATCGCAATAGTAACAATAGAAAAGAGGGGAAGAGTAGCATGAGGAAGAGGAAGAGGAGGAAGAAAAATTGAAAAGAAAAAGTAAACAA